TTAGGGACTATATGTGTATACATACATATCTACCTACCTACCTACCTACTTACTTATCTTTCTATGGATACCTATGAATTTACACCAGTACTTCCATTCCAATCCAACACAGAGTTTCTTCGAGTTTTCTACTTTTACATATTTTTAACTTTCTTTTCCAGCAGTGAGCTCCTATTAGTCTTAATGTTTGTATTTACTCTGTCAATCCCCTGGTATGCCACCATCATCCCATTTCCAGACATCCTTCTCATTCCTTTCCCAGGCCTACACCTCTCACTCTGATGCCCCCTTGTGGATGCCCTCCTTTCCTGCCCGTGCTCTGATTCCCTGCCACAGGCCACACCTCCCGGACCAAGGCAACCTTCCTCATCTCTGTTGGACACTGACATCTTTGCTGAGTTGCACAACTTTGCTCAGAAGCTTTCCTCAACCCACTTCAGTGGGCCAGGCTGTCACCCACCTCAGACACCCTCTGCACTTGGTCAGGCTTCAGCATTCTATGCCAGGCTGTCCTCCTGCATCAACACAATCCTCACCCTGCACAGGCTCTGACACCTCTCACTGGGCCACTGTGGCTCCCCACACTGTGTCCTGCTGGAGTATCCCCAGGCTAGCCATTAAGCAAAATAAGCTTGTGTTTAGGGCACCAAGAGAAGAGGGCACCACAGAACTTTCCCCCAGCTGTCATGCCCTTAAGTCTTTCACTGGTCATATGATGTTAGTAACATGGTTTAAATTGTCTTTATTTGCTGTTTAGATTTAATCTAAAATTTTTTCAAATGTGCTCTTTGGCATGGTGAGTGACTAAAGTTTAAAAGTTTGATTTGAAGGTGGTATCAGATATAGCATTTGTTTCTGTCTCATGCTCTGAGGGTTTTGCCTTCCTGAAAGCTGACTGGGTCTGGCTAGCATTTAACTCATCCGCTGATTTGTTTAAGGAACACTTAAGCTCTTTATTTTAAGAAATGGAAGGGCCAAGGGTGTCACAGAACCACCAGATTCATATTTCCACTACTCAGTAACAAACTAATGCACTCAGCAGGTAGGTTTTGCAGTAGAGAAAGAATTTAATGAATACAGAGTGACCAAGCAAGGAGATTGGGAAAATCCTCAGAGAGATCTCCATTTCCAGAGGAAACTCCTTTTCCCCCAAGACTCTTGTGCTGGGATTTTTAAGGGAGTCTTGGAGGGCAAGGGCTAGAAAACTGAGGTTACTGAGTGGTCAGGGTAAGGTGGATGAAGTCATCAGGATGTATTCTTTGGTGAGCCAGCACCCTGTGGGGTCCTGTAGACCAGCTGACACAGTAGTTTCGCTGATAGGCAGGACCTGAAAGAATAACTCAGATAGAAAACTTAACGTTTCACAATGCTTAAGTTGTTATCTCCAGAGCAGTTAAGGGAAACTATAATCTTTTGACAAGGTCTACGTGGTTTTGAGGCAGTAGGCAACAAACAACTATGAGAAAGCATGAGAGAATAAGCTGACCTCGTGATTAATGCTGGATGTGCTGCAAGCTTGGTTATTTTCATTTCTCCCCCTCCCTTCTTCTCTGATTAATTTTGTAAAGTTCATAGGGATGGTTTCGAGGGGGCAACATGGTTTGTCTGTATTTAGGGCATCATTGTTCTTAATCTGACCCTGCAGCGAGGCAGCCTACCTTGCTTATTGTTTCCCTACCCTATCCCAATAACTGTTTTTGTTTTTAAAGCAGAGACGGGGTTTTGCTATGTTTCCCAGGCTGGTCTTGAACTCCTGGGCTCAAGCAATGCATCCACCTTGGCCTCCTAAAGTGCTGGAATTTCAGGTGTGAGCCACTGCACCTAGCCTCCAATAACTTTTAAACAAATTCAGAAAATTAAGTGAGGATGCAAAGGGTTTACCTTTTCCCTTTAAACCTGCTCAGTGAAGAAAGAATTTTAAAACTCTAGGTTATCCCACCCCCACTATACCCCACACTCTTATTTATTTATTTATTTCCTTGTTAAGCCCTCTTAGGTAATAAAAAGTACTGTGGTCACTTTAAATAGCAAGCACACATTCCCAGTTAGATAACTGAAAATACTTATTTCAATATAGAATTTAGCTAGTCAATTGTCATTCACATACGAGACTCCTTCCCTGTGTCTCCAGCTGGGACAAAGCTGCAGGCAGACCTTTTCCTTCAGGGAGAGGGGTGTGAGCAATTTCTTTCGTCTGGCTTTTCTCCTCATCCGCTAAGATGCTGACTCCACCTCTGACCCCTCCTGAGGTGTAACCAGGAGAGAAAGGAGGGGAAGCAGGCATGGAAATTTCTGGTTTGTTTGGCCCCATTGTCAGTTGCCCTCATGCTCCCTGGGCTGGTAGGTGTTGAAAGCAGACCCTTTTCTTCATGCGTAAGCGGCTGACAAGGCAGGAAATGCACTTGGTTTTTCCAGCTGCCCATCTCCCTTGGCGTCCCAGATCCACTCCACACAAATCTCCCTTTGTGGATATCACTTCTCCCTTCTAGGTGGTCCCTGGGGGCTGGCTATCACTCCTCTGTGACCTGCATCTAATCCACAGGAAATGCGTTCTAAATCCACAGGAACGCATGTAGCCTCTGGTCCAACAAAATGGCGTGGTCCCGTCCACTCCAAATGCAGTGGTCACTGTCTTTCTGCCCTGTTCCTCCAGTGGAAAGTCAGAGCCCCTCACGCCCAGATTCCTCAGGAAAGCCAACAGCTGACCCATGGGCCCACCTGAACACGCACTAGGCTCTAAGCAACCATTGATACAATTTGTCTATATTGATTTACCTAATTCTGTACTTTTCATATAAATGAAATTATGTAATATGTCTGTGACTGGCCTGTTTCACTTGACATGTTTTCAAAGTTCACTCACGTCATAGCATGTAGCAATACTTCATTCTTTTTTTTGTGGCCCAGTAGTATTTGACTGTATGGCTATGCTACATTTTGTTTATACACTAATCCACTGAGGAGCATTTGAGCTGTTTACACCTTTTGGCTGTTGTGAATAGACTACTATGTGCTTTTGTGTGTACAAGTTATTATGTGAAGGTATGTTTCGATTTTGTGGGGTATATACCAAGAAGTGGAGTTGCTGGTCATATGGCAATTCTATGTTTAACGTTTTGAGGGACTGCCAAACTCTTCTCCACAGCATCAGACTATTTTACATTCTCACCAGCAATGTAGAAGAATTCCAATTCTCCACATCCTCATCAACACGTATTTCTTTTTTTTTCAGTAGCCATCTCAGTGAATGTGAAGTGATGTCTCATTATGGTTTTGATTTGCTTTTCTCTAATAAGTAATTACGTTGAACATCTTTTCATGTGCTTATTGGCCATTCTTCTATTTTTTACAGAAATATATATATTCAGTGTATCTGCCCACATTTTAATTATTTGTCTTTTGATGTTGGGTTATAAGAGTGTATTGGATATTCTAAATACTAGACCCTTATCAGATTGTGATTTGCAAATTGTTTCCCCCATTTTATAGGTTGTCTTTTTACTTTCTTGTTAATGTGCTTTGATGCAAAGTTTGAAGCAAAGTTTTTAATTTTTATGAAGTCTAATTTATTTATTTTTTCTTTTATTGCTTGTGGCTTTGTTGTCATATAGAAGTAATCAATGCCAACTCAAAGGTCATGAAGATGTTCCCTAAATTTTCTTCCAAGGGTTGTATTGTTTTAGCTCTTACATTTAGGTCTTTGATTCATTTTGAGATGTTTTTTTCATTCTTCTTTAATTTCTTCCTACAATATTTTGAGGTTTTCAAATATAAGTTTTGTACTTTTTTTGTTAAACTTATTTATAAGTATTTCATTATTTTTTATGCTACTTGAAATGGAATTGTTGTCTTAGTTTCATTTTTGAATGGCTCATTGCAAGTGTATAGAAATATAATTGACTTTTGTATATTGATCTTGTGTCCTGCAGCTTTGCTAAACTCATTAGTTCTAATATGTTTAGTAGATTTCTTAGGATTTCTTAAGCAAGATTATATCATTTGTGAAACATAGTTTTACTTCTGTTTTTCCAATCTAGATTCCTTTTATTTCTTTCTCTTGCCTAATTACCCTGTATAGAACCTCTAGCATAATGTTGAGAAGTGGCTAGAGTAGACATCTTTGTCTTGTTCCTGATCTTAGAGAGAAAACACGCATTTTAAAATTCTTACAAAGCCTTTCTTCATCTACACTCTCTTGAGACTTTAACTTTTATGTAACCTGAACTGTTTTAGAGCCGTATGACTGGTTTTTTATGACATCCTGAACAATATCTGTAAGGTATGGTTTGGATGTTTGTCTTCTCCAAATCTCATGTTGAAATGTAATTCCTAATTTTGAAAGTGGGGCATAGTATGAGGTGTTCAGGTCATGGGTGCAGATCCCTCATGATAGCTTGGTGCTGTCCTTTGGATAATGAGTGAGTTCTCACTCTGAGTTCAGGAGAGAATATGGTTGTATAACAGTGTGTGGTACCTCCCATCCCTCTCTCTATTGCCCCAGCTCTCACCATGTGATGCACTGACTCCCCTTTCACCTTCTGCCGTGATTGGAAGATTCCTGAGGCCCTCACCAGAAGCAGACGCTGGCATCATGCTTCTTGTACAGACTGCAGAACCATGAGCCAAAATAAACCTCTTTTCTTTATAAATTACCCTGACTCAAGTATTCCTTTATAGCAACACATATTGTCTCCCTAGGATAAGATGCATCGTGATTGCCTATGTGAAGGGAATACATATATTCAGCTAACATGTGGAAACATCTGCAGCATGTTTAGACAGTTATTAGGCAATGTAAGCAGCTGTTTCCACTGGAAAACCCAGAAAATGTCTATTTGTATGGATGCCTTGCTTTAATAACTAATAAAACTTCAAATACAAAATGGAGGAAAAAGTTTTCAATACAAAGGAAAGATCGTGTGTGCCTTTCTCACTGTTACTCCAGATAGGCCCCTGGATTGACACCTCAGTTTAGAACCTTGGCCACTCCCTCTTTTCAGGTTTTGGAGAATATGACTTCGGAGGAGTTAATCTGGACACCTACTAACCAGGTAAAGCCCAGTTTCAGCCCAACTTGCTAGAGGTCACTATCCCAGTTAACACAGAAGACAGCAATTGTTCTTTGAAAGGACTAGTGACACTTTTGGGTAGGGTTCATAAAAAAAGAGTATGTGGTGGGTGCAGGACCACAAAGGGGGGCTTTATTTTCATTTTCTTAATAACGAGTTGGTTTACAAAGAATGAGAATTTGGTAACAGTACAAAAGGTATGCCTTATTATTGCTGTGGATAAAATACATTCTTATTAGGGAGAGAGGCAGTATCAAACTACTTGAGTGTCAAACCCCACTGGTATGCCCTGTGTTTTTTTGCTTCGTTTGGATTTGTTTTGTTTTCAGGATACAACATAGATACAGAACAACTGATGGATGGTTTCATACTGTGTGCCTGGACCTAGCAAAATTTTGGAGTTGTTTGGATCTTTTACATAAAGATTTTTGAGAATAGGGAAGAGGAAGGATGATAAACTTGCACAGACAGCCATATTTATTTTTATGTCCAGAGGAGAGAAGTGTGAAAAAATGCTTAGGATAACCTATCACTGAGGCAAGGAAGACAACTTGAGAAAAATATAATACACGAGACCATCTTTTTGAAATGTTTAAAAGCTTTCTTATGTCCTCTGGGTACAAGGACTCACCAATGATATTTGTGTGCACTATTTTTTTCTTTTTTTACAAAACTTAGTGTGAAATAGAGCACTTGCAGAGCCTGGGACAACTTCCTTATTGAAGGGAAGAAGGACCAGCACACAAGGCTAAGGCTGAGGGGCAGTCACTAGCACCAGGAAGAAGGTGGTAGGAAGAGTCCTAGGGGCTGGTTTTACCCTCCCACATACCCTGTGTGCATCGTTTTTTAACATGTATTGTTTGTAACATGTAATATATCTGAATTTTAAATGGGGATGGTGATTTATCTCAGTCTTCCTCTCTGCATCAGTTGCTTTATAAATGATTGTTAAACCAATAAACACACACAAGATAAAATTTTATTCTAAGGCTTCATGAAAGACTTTTCCACAGTTTTCAACTTTTATTCTTTCTCATTGTAGATGTGTGAGCTAGTGCAAAATTTTAGGAGATTTCCATAATTTAAGGATGGCCCATTTTAGAGGAAACAGCACAAGTCACCTCCCTCGTTGGTGGGCCCAGGGAGAAATGTAACTCATTTTCAGAAATAACTGAAAGTGACAGATAAGAAAGAAAGAATAGGATCCGGGGAAGGAAAAGAGATGAATAAATGCAGACATTGGGTGGCTCAGAAACAAGCAAGTGATCTTGTTGTGCCCTGGTGGGCAGTATTTTAATTGTCACTGATGAGAGCCTGGGGTTGGCTTGGTGACTGCTGGAGAAATGATATGGAGCAGACCCAGACTCTAACATCTTAATTCCAAATGAAGAAAGATAATCCATAGGTTTAGATGACTCGATGCTCAGAAAACAAATAGAATTAAAGAAAAATCTGGTACTTTTTCTTCCTATCCATTTCTCCCCTAACTGTTCTCCCACCACTCTAGAACTGTTCATTCGTTGATTCATACTGTGATTCAATAGCATTTACTGGCACTTACTGTATATGATACTGTTGTTCTTTGTGTTAACGATGTTACAAAATAATGAATGTCATGGTTCCTGAACTTTAGGAGTTTGTATTCAGACTATGTAGAGGAAACTGTCATAAATGAAGCAGCTGAGGAACAGCGTGGCTACAGCCCTGCCAGGAAACCTGCAGGGCCTCTCTCCTCTGGTCTGACAAGAGCACTTCAGACATTTTTCTTTCTCCACTTACTGCCTCTCTTCCAACTAAGAAGAAAGATATAAAAATAAGACCCTCCCTGGATCTTGCACTAGCAGATAAAGACACCATCTTGGGCCATCGGGTGAAAAGGCAGGAGCTGTCCTCACACCATTTATCATCATTCTCCTAACGGGCTTCAGGTCACAAAATTCCTCCCTTGTCACAACCTTCTCAGGAACTTTCCAGTAGTCTGTTGTGTTTTTTGCATATGCAACTTTTCTGTCAGCTAGCAGCTTCTCACAATCTTAAACATGTTTATTTTTAACTCCTTATTTGAGCCCATATGCTTTTGCAGCTACTTTCTTGCCTCTTTCCTTCTGCTATGGTTTAGATGTCTGTTCCCTCCAAATCTAATATTGAAATTTAATCCCAATGTTGGGTCCACTTGCAGGAGGTGCTTGTGTCGTAAGGGTGAATCCCTAGTGAAATTAAAGCTCTTCCTCAGGAGTGAGTGAGTTCATTCCTACAAGAACTACTTGTTTTAAAAAACCTGGCACCTCCTCTCCCCCTCCCAGCTTCCTGTCTCACCATGTGCTTTCTGTACAGGCCTGCACTCCTTCACCTTCCACTATGAGCAGAAGCTGTCTGAGGCCCTCACCAGATGCAGATGCCCAATCTTGAACTTTCCAGCCATCAGAATCACAATCCAAATAAACCTGTTTTTCTTCATAAGTTACCCAGCCTCAGGCATTCCTTTATAGCCACACAAAATCAAAAGACACCTCCCTTTCATACCCAAACTTCTCAGCAGTGGTCTCCTTTCTGTACCTTCTGCTCACTTCTCATCTGGATTGATCACTGCAAATTTGGCATTGGTAACTATTCACTTTTTTTGGAAACATTCTCTCTTCCCTTCCCTTTCTTAGCACCATATTCTCTTGGTTTTCCTTTTATCTTTCAGGCCCTTTCTTTTTCTTTCTTTCTTTCTTTTTTCTTTCCTCTTTTTTCTTTCTTTCTTTCTTTTTTCTTTCTTTCTTTCTTTCTTTCTTTCTTTCTTTCTTTCTTTCTTTCTTTCTTTCTTTCTTTCTGCTAATCATCCTCCAGCTGACCATTAAATACTGGAATTCTTTAAGGCTTATTCCCAAGCTTCCTTTTCTTATGCCACTTTCACCCATGGGATGTCTCATCCATGCTAAAAATTGTAATCACTGCCTGTATCAAGATGATTTATACGTTTGTAAATGTAGCCTAGATCTCACAAGAGAAATCCAGAGTCATGTGTCCATTTTCCTTCTTGTTGTCTTTACTTGGGTATAATTGCTATCTGTGTGAGAGGCATCCGCATTAATATAACAGCAAGCCAAAACTCAGGAGTTACTCTGGACATCTTCCACTCTCTCACTTAATTATGGGGTCTGTCAGGTTTATTCCCTAAATCAAATAATCCACCTAAATCAAATAATCCATTCACCTCTCACCATGTCTATTCCCTCATGCCAGAGACCATTGTTCTCTCCTGGACTACACTGTAAGCTCCTACTCCAACCTAATCTCTCATGCAGAGTAGCCTCTGAAAACAAGGACACTTCCCACTGATTTCAAAACAAAGACCAATGCATTCACTGGGCTCACATCATCCTGTGTGCTCCTGACCTTAATTCTTCTACAGCCTCCTCACAAATCATACTTCCCTTATTCTCTATCCTCTGGGATACCTAATTGCTCCTTCCTGCCATGAAACTTTAGCTTATGCTGTTCTTTCTTCCTAAAACGTTCTCCCGTCAGTCTCCCACACCAGTTAACTATTATCCTTCAGATCCCAGCTCAGCTGCAACTTTGCAGGGGTGGCCCTTCCTTACATTCAGATTAGTGCACTTATCATCCACTCTCATAACCCATGTAACCACTTGTTATTTCTACAGTTATTACACATTCACTTGTGTGATACTTTGATTAAAGTTATCTGCCCTCCTGAGATACTGAATTCCTTAATACTGTGTATGGTTTTGATTTCTGCCATCCCCACAAGGTGTGTGTGCATTAATATTCATTTCGTGTTGAAATGGTTTTACTGTCTTATGATCCTCCATGCTGCCCATATAGGGGCTTTAACAAAAGCACTGCACACATTTCTCCAGACATTTGGAGTGAGGTTAGGGCAGTGTGTGTCTTACATACATCTTTGGAAGGCATTTTAGGTTAATGAGGTGAATGTTGAATGGTTCCACATTGAATTGAATCCCACTGAATGGTGTGTGGGATTCCAACAGTCAGAAGGGCACACGAAGGCAGACATCATGGGTCATTGTCCAAAAGCAGTGACACATGAAGAACTGTTGGAAGGGCTAGAAGAGACACTGGGCAATGTCCATTCACTAACATGTTAAAGATCTGCACCGAGCCAAAAACCAGATGTGGGGCAGAGGTTAAAATGGCCAGAAAGAAGGTAACTGTCCAAAAGCTGATTCTGGAAGCACAGGTATTCCAGAGGCAGCTCTGATTCCAAAGCTGGCATCCACAGAATGGAAGTTGTCGGAAAGAGTTAAAGTGTACTATCTTGCTCCAATTAGTTGCAGACATGTTCATTCCTCTTGTCATGATGGAATCATTATTGTTCTTTCCTCCTTGACATTTTTCACCAACAATGGAAAACACTATGCATTCTGTTGTTTGGGGCTTTCTTTTGATGACAGCTCTGAGGATTCATCTTCTGCATGTTGGGTACAACTCGTTTGTGATTCTCAGTTCTCAGTCCCAAGGTCTGGCTTCCTCTTTTGCTTTGGAAAGAAATTGTCTCCAACCCCTGATGCTTTTACCAGGATAACAGTGGAAGAGTGGAGAACACAGAAATCTCAACACACCTTTGCTTTTGGTAGCTTGCAGTTAAATAACTAGCCTGTTTTCTTCCTCTGTAAAATGTCCAGGCGTAGTAAAATCTTTAGTATTATATACAGGGTCTAGCTAACAGCTTACCAGTCAAGCAGGCATGAAAGGGAAATGTCTCTGAGGGAAAACAATGAACAACTAAGCACCAGGATCTAGCACATCTCTCGGTTTGCTCAGAGGTGGGTGAATGTCTGCTCTTTAGCCCAGTCCTGTACATCTGCTCGGCCAAAGATGAGGTAGAAAACCAGGCCCGATATGTTAACAGCAGCTGAAAGCAAGAAGACATTTCTCCAACCAAACTCTGAATCCTGGAGGCAGAAAATTACAAGTTATTAACTGTCACCCAGTTCTTGTCCCTCTTGGTTCAGAAAGGCTTTGGCTCTGTGTCCTACTGCTCCCTCCTCGACCTCCACTCTGGCTTCCATGGGCTTCCCAGTTGGTCCTGGAATACTCAGGTACATTTCTGCCATGAGGCCACAGCACGGCATTTCCTTGGCTGGAACACTCCTCCCCCAGATATCTATTTGTCTCACACTTCCACTTCCTTTCAGTCCTTGCTTAAATATTCCTTTTCAAGCAAGTGGTTACGGTGAGTACTTCCTTGACCATTGTGATTAAAATAGAAATTACACCCCTTGTGCGCTATTTGCTATTCTCCTGTTACCTTCAATATGTCATATGTTTTATTTTCATAGATTTCTTTCAGTTTCTTTTCTACAATATAGGTTTCACAAGGGAAGGAATTGTGTTTCATTCACTTAAATAGCACATGGCACATACTAATGTTTAATACTTATTTATTTATTGAATGAATGAATGAATGAATAAGTCAATGAATGTCAGGAGAAACAAGAGCAGTTTGAGGATTTCCATTTTAAACAACCATTTCCTGACAGCTTGTTAGTCAGTGCCTGGGAGGGAACTGAAGCTTCAAAAAAGATAAGTGCCTTGATTTCATAAAGAATACTCTTTCTTTGTTATTCTTCATTTATTTTTCTGATTTACTGGTGCAAAACCACAGGAAAGTCATTCTTTAACTTTCCTGTGGTTTTTCACTGTAGGTAAATGGTATATGGCAGTGTTTTTCACCAGTAAATGAAGTATATGGCAGAAAAGAAGAATGCCACATACTTCTCTATTCATGTAAAGTTTATACCAGTAAGATTCTTAGGAAACTTAAGAGTCTTAAGTTTCTTTAATCTTTAGTCATCATGTAAACTAGTTTATTTTTTACTACTTTAAATGCATCTTGTAGGATACAAGGCAAATGTGAAAACACCATGCCTCTATAGGTTTCTCTTATGAATATTCATCAGAACATTTGACCTCACCTGACTGATGAAAAATCCAGCAGCAGTGGGAGAGATGGCTCCAGCTATGTGTGCAAAGACTTGTAATAGTCCTTTGAGAAAGCCAGTGTACCTGAGAGAGAGAGATCGTACTCTATTATACCCAAGTATACCTACATTTGAAAGTCTCAATACCTGAGAGAAGGAGGGAAACATTCCCGTGCAAACAAAGGGTTAATCTCAGCTGGTCTGTTGCAACTCTGTGCTTATCTGTGGGGATGGCTGGAATTGTGTAAGCCTTGGTGAAACCTGAATGAAATGTACTGACTAAAGATTAGTATAATCCTGTGCTAGGGATTGGTACTCCCAAGCGGGTAACCTCTATTAACTTGTCAACATTGTTTATGCAAGATGGTCAGATTGATGGTCTGCACCTGGTTTGTAAGGTTTTTGTTGTTGTTGCTTTGGCTTCTGCTGTTGAGTCTGATCTTGTAACTTTTATACCCTCCGTGGGTATAAAAGACCCCTCAGCAGATGAGAGATTGGCTCCTCTGAGACAAAGGCATCTCTCACATTTCTTGGTGGTTCATTATCTGAAGATAAAGGATGTCCTGTTGACTGGGACAGGACCCTGGGAGCTATGTTTGTAAGTCTCAGTCAACTCTGTATTTACTGTATCAGAGACAGATATTTCTCCTGCAGTCCTGTGTCCTTTGCCTTTATTAAAGATTTTCATGAGCATACCCTATAGAATCTCAAGAATTCTTTCAGTGATTCCACCTTAGGCAACTGCTGCATTCCTCAACAGAGGGAGATTTGTGTGAGTCTCCCTCAGTTGACTCTGAGCTTGGCCACTGCCTCCTCTTGTTCATGCCCAGAAAAACTAAGTTCACAATGGTTGACCAGCTTTGAGTCTCTTCTAGGAATTATTTAGATGTAGGGTGTAGAGCCGGTGCTGACATTTCCTGCAACCTGTTGCACCTGCCACATTTTACTTTCACATCGGAGTATATTTAGGGCTGCTAGACTCGAACTGAGTTTCTGAGAGGATGAGGAAAAAGAGGTCCCTACCGAGGGGCAATATCCAAGAAGTTAACAAGGGCTCCTGATTCACAGAAGCTGCTGATGGCAGAAGACAGCACCAAGAAGGTCATGGTCATGCTGTGGCTGGATCTGACCCAGGGCAGGGACACGAGGATCACAGATGGGAAGAGAACCCCTGGGGTAGGAGGACAAACACAGAATAAACTGGAGGCTGCTCTGAGCTTCCCACATTCACCCCTGTGTCCAGCCTCACCCTTACCAATGGCAGTGAAGAGTTTCCTGATGGTGATGAGTCTGAGGATTTTTCTGGAGAGAAGAAAGTCTGCCAATAGACCTCCAAGGATAATGCAGATACATCCAACAACAAACGGCAAGGCAGACAGGATCCCACTCTGAGGACCAGAGACTAGGTCAGGTACATGCGCCCTTACCACCCACACCATGACACAGACAACCTTGGACAGATTGTCCACATTTGCGGCTTTTCTTTATATACACATCACTTTTAATACAAATTCCATGTTACCGTAATGAGCCAATATAGTTTTAGTATGTATATGTTCATAGCTCTGCTTGCAAAAAAAATAAATAAATAAAATAAACAAGAACTAATGCTCTCTTTATATATAAAAATCACCTGGAAATAAATATTTAAAAGACCAAAATCCAGTAGAAAAATAGGCAAAGGATAATAACAGACAATTTACAGAAAAAAAGAAAAAATAAGTGGCTCCTAAACATGTTAAAAGGTATCCAACTTTGCTCATAATGAAAGAAAACAAAATAAAACTATGGTGAGACACTATTTTTCATGGATCAAATTGGCAAAAAACACCTTTTTTTTTTTTTTTTTGGCATGCTCTGTTGCTAACACTGGAGAATCAGGTTCTCACAAATATTACTGGTGCTCTATTGAGGTTAATTTGACAACAAATATAAAAGTTTATAGTGCATTTACCCTTTGACTCAATAATCTCATATGCAGAAATTTATTCCACAGAGAGTTGCACAAAGATGTAACAAATGAACAAGATTTTCACTGCAACATTGCTCAAAGATGGGAAACAATCCAAATACTGCTCAGCAAGGTTCTCATGTACTGATATGAAGATTTCCATGACATATTAAGTGGCAAAAACCTAGTGTATAAGCATAGTGGCATATTACAGAGTATAGAGTATACTGTTTTGTATTTAAAAAGTTGGGAAAATAAGAATATATATTCGTGTATGCTTGCATTCTCATAAAGAAACAAGAAAAGAATATATATAGGAAATTTAGGCCAGCCATGGTGGCTCACACCCATAATCCCGGCACTTTGGGAGACTGTAGTGGGAGGATCACTTGAGCTCAGGAGTTCAAGACCAGCCTGGCCAATATAACAAGACCTCATCTCCACAAAAAGTTAGCCAGGCATTGTGGTACACGTCTGTGGTCCCAGCTACTCGGGAGGTTGAGGTAGGAGGATTGCTTGAGCCTGGGAGGTCAAAGCTTTAGTGAGCCATGATTGAACCACTGCACTCCAGCCTGGGCAACACAGTGAGACATTGTGTCAAAAGAAAAAAGAAAGAAAACGAAAAAAGAAATTTAAAGAATGATCATTGGAATGGTCTGGGAGGACAGGGCAGATTAGGAAAAGCAATGAGTAATGAAAGAAAGATTTTTCACTCTTTTTTTTTTTAGATGGAGTTTTGCTCTTGTTGCCCAGACTGGAGGGCAATGTCACAATCTCGGCTCACTGCAACCTCCGCCTCCCAGCTCAAGCGATTCTCATGCCTCAGCCTCCTAAGTGGCTGGGACTACAGGCACCCGCCACCACGGCTGTCTAATTATTGTATTTTCAGTAGAGACAGGGGGTTCACCATGTTGGCCAGCCTGGTCTCGAACACCTGACCTCAGATGATCCACCTGCCTCGGCCTCCCAAAGTGCTGGGATTACAGACATGAGCCACCACGCGTGACCCACTCTATGTTTCAATATAGTTTTTAAAATGTTGAACCTTCTTGTTATCAATTAAACTTGTAAATTAAAATTCTATTGAATAAAATGCAATGAAAAGGAGACTCCTCTGTTGTATATAATCCAAACAATGGAAAGGATTCAGCTCTCACCTGGTTCAAGTAGTTCATTTTACAGATGAGTAAGCCAAGGCTGTCAAGGTTACGTTAGTGAGAAAATACACTGAGGGCGATGAGAATCCAGGTCTCTTAACTTTTTAGCCTGGAAAGCTCTGCTTTCTGGTCACAACTTGTCTTTCCATTCATTCTCCCATCTTCCTCTTCCTCAGCCTTGGCCTCTGAGGGTCAAGCCCACCCAGCCTCACACCAGAGACAAATCATTCCCAACAGCCATTCCCAACAGCCAGCCTCAGGAAGTCTATTGCTTAGCACTGGCCTCTTGCTTATCTGGTCCCCTGATCCCCTGGATTAAGGTTCTGGTTTAATTTCTGGCCCTCCTCCTCTTTGAAAAGACCCAGAGCCACTCCCTCCTGGGGCTTTCTAATCTCAGTGCCTGCAGCCTGCTTGCATGCAGATGCTGACTACTACTAAGAAGATCAGCTCTCTTTTGGCTACTTAGCACATTTTCACCAGAGGAACCCAATCAATATGAGAAAGCTTCTTCCTGAGTACAGAGAGTACAAGAGTAACACTGGCTTTGTGAACTGTCACTAACAGGTTATGAAATCTGATACACTCTTAGCCACTTTTAAGACATCCATCTAGCAGGAATTGAAAGGCTCCTGTCAGCCATTCAGAGCATCTGTTTCTTCTGTGAAAATTCAGAGAGCTGTACACATATATGCACTTTTCTTTCTATGTGTTGTACTTGAATGAAAATGATTTTTTTATTATTATTATACTTTAAGTTCTAGGGTACATGTGCATAACGTGCAGGTTTGTTACATATGTATACTTGTGCCATGTTGCTGTGCTGCACCCATCAACTTGTCAGCACCCATCAACTCGTCATTTACATCAGGTATAACTCCCAATGCAATCCCTCCCCCCTCCCCCCACCCCCCTCCCCATGATAGGCCCCGGTGTGTGATGTTCCCCTTCCCGAGGACAGAAAACCAAACACCGCATGTTCTCACTCATAGGTGGGAACTGAACAATGAAAATGATTTTTTAAAACAAACATTACTCCACAAATGTCTATGGTAAGTCTTTTTTGGGACTTTATGTCCTATTAATATCTTATTTTCAGCATATGTTGTTTATGTTTCTCTGTCACAATTTTCTCAGAGGCAGAATTTGTTTTGCTAATTTTTATTATTTATGCTACCAGCAGAGCATCTTGTTTGCAAATTTTGATTGGATTGAGTATAAAAATTTTGCACAGGGCCCTTAAAATATGATAGTATATGAAAATCAAACTGACCTAGAACCATATGTATCATCCTGCTGCAGTAAGTAGTGAACCACATTGAGATCAATCAGAATCCAAATTAACTAGACTCCATTTCCTACATGGAGGTCCTGGTCCTAATCCCCCGATTTTGTGACCATAGGAGAGACACAGGATTATATATGAGCTCCCTATATTTAAGCATTTAAACAGAAGATCAGAATGAGCTTTCTCTATACTTACATCTCTGAGGTTGGCTTGAAGTACCGAGCTGATGTACGTTGGTGTGTATGCCATAATTGTATAAAAAAGCCAGTATTCACAGAAATAAGAGATTAAAATGGCCCAGAGTGGTAAGGATTTGATCATAGCCCTAATGGGAAGAGACCAGCCTGGTGAACAGTCCTAGAAGAAAGCACACAGCAATGTCCCCTCCATCAGAAGGCAGCTCTCTCTATCGCACTCTGCATCTCTGAGACATCTAGAGGGACATACAGAAATGTCAGAGGAATTTCTCAATGTACCTGCTGAGCCAATGAACACACAATGTATCTCTTCTCAGCAGCACTGATAAAGGGATGATTCACAGGATCATCATAAATGAGAGGAAACCAGAGAAGACAACAGGCACAGCCAATTCCTCCTAGGAAAAGAGGATCCAGTTAGCACTGGATGGATGGAAGTACTTCTTTCAGTTTGACTCTAAGATGATTCCTGTGGTTGGCAGAGTGACTAGCCTCAGTACTCCACTCTTCCTGGCATCTATCCCTTGCATGGCCCTATCACAGGGGGAGGGTACTTCCTCACCACTTGACTTTGGCCTTGGCCATACAACTTGCTTTTGCCAATGGCATGGAGGAGTTTCAAGTCTAGGCATTAAAAAACATTTCTTTTTAAACTTATCCTCTTGGGTCTTGTGCACTGCTATTGGAAGACTATGCTCCAGCTCATCCTTTGACCAAGGCAGATGACAGACACAGACAGTGGAGCCACCCAGCTGTCCCACAAAGAACCACAGGAATAAATGATTATTGTTTTAAACCACTGAGTTTTGGGAGGTTTTGAAACACACTATTATTAAAGCTATAGCACACTTACAAGTTAGTAGCGTGTTTGCCCCACGTGCTTGAAAATGCCCTCACCATTCACATACCAGTCGGCATCCCTCCTGCTAGTCATGCTTTGCAGAGTTCCTTTCATCATTAAACCTTTCCGTATCTATCTCTTATCTTCCTCAAAGCACATATGAGTGAGAAGCAGTACACTATTATGTGGAATTAATTACCCAGTTTCTAGACATGAAATGAAATTAATCCTCAGCAAAGACATTTTTCTGATATATACATTATTACAGAGTGGGGGATTTAACATTATCAGTATTGAGTGGAAATATGGCCCATCTTCAAATTCCCTTTTTAGAATCTTAAGAAATCTTATGAGCTCTCTTTGTTTGGCTAGCATGTCATTTACAAATTCCTTCACAAATATCATACAGCAGCCACTATACACCAGGCATTTTGCTACATTTTAAGAATATAAAATGACAAAGACACAATTTTGCCATCAGGGAACTTAATCAAGTGGGGAGGGATAGATATGAAAATTAGCAATGTTGCACATTGGGGTTGGAGGATGTTAATATTTATTCAACAAATATTGAGTGAGTTTCTATTGTGTATATGCTCCTTACTGTTTCTCGAAACCATAAGCACAGTAAGATTTTCTCGTTGTTTGAATAATTTTTGTAATCTGCCCTTTGAATGTTTTCATGATAAAAACTTTGAAGGTTGGTGTGCTGTGGAATCATTACATATTTTTTTTGATGAATATATTGACCTGATTTTACAGAAACCCTTGATCTAAGAGGCCCGCCCGCTAATGAACACACTAGTGGGACTATAAGGAATTACCATAAACAATTTAGGGGTGGGATTTTGGAGAATGTTTCAAATATTGAACAAACTTTAGCTGACAGCAGCTAAGCGGATTCCAACCACAGTTCCACGAAGGTAAAACTGTAACGTAGTAAAATACTGCCTCTGGAACTTTCCATGTGTCTTTGGAACCTTTCTGTAGCATCTCTCTGTATATTATGTCTGCTTCTGAACCTTACATAATCTGCTCTGTCCTACAGGCTCCACTGGTTGATTCTTACTCTAATTAGCATTTTACCTATGATTAGGTCACAGTCACACAACTTTCTGGCTATGATACTAGGTTGGTGAACCCAAGTAATTGTGGTTTTTGCCATAATAATAGCTGGAGAAATTTTAAAGAATATATTAAATTAAAAAGCATGACTAAAATGTAGTCTGACTAAAATAACATTTTCTTTTTTGTTGTTTCTTTTTTTTCTTTTTTTGTCTCTTGAGACAGGGTCTCACTCTGTCACACAGGTTGGAGTGTAGTAGCATGATCTCGATTCACTGCAACCTCCACCTCCTGGGTTCAAGCGATTCTCCCACCTCAGCCTCCTGAGTAGCTGGGATTACAGGCATGCAGCATCATGCTCTGCTAATTTTGGTATTTTTAGTAGAGATGGGGTTTAACCATGTTGGCCAGGCTGGTCTCAAACTCCTGGCCTCATGTGATCCACCTGCCTCAGCCTCCCACAGTGCTAGGATTACAGGCATGAGCCACCACGCCTAGCCTAAGATAACATTTTCAACATCTATTTTTTGTTGTTTTTTATTGAGACAGAGTCTCGCTCTGTCGCCCAGGCTGGAGTGCAGTGGCGAGATCTGGGCTCACTGCAAGCTCCGCCTCCTGGGTTCATGCCATTCTCCTGCCTCAGCCTCCTGAGTAGTTGGGACTACAGGCGACCGCCACCTCGCCCGGCTAGTTTTTTGTATTTTTTTTTTTAGTAGAGACGGGGTTTCACCGGGTTAGCCAGGATGGTCTCGATCTCCTGACCTCGTGATCCGCCCGTCTCGGCCTCCCAAAGTGCTGGGATTACAGGCTTGAGCCACCGCGCCCGACCAGATTTCAACATCTTATGAAATAATTTGCTCTGAATTCCTTTAGGTTAAATTTAGAAGCAGTAAGGAATGTTATGATGCCTCTTACGTCATAAGATTGTTCTACCTACACACTCAAGGCTGCTGAAACTTAAATGTTAAACACAGTTGACTCTGAACACTACCAGCTTTAGCTATGTAAATATCCATATCTATTAGGATTTGGTTAACCATAGACAAATTGAATCACAGAATTCTCTGTCATAAAAATTTGAGATTTGAAAAGCAAACTCACCAAAGATATAGAAGACATAAGGCCATCCTATGGTCTGGCAAAGAAGACCACTAACAAGTAGAACGATGAAGGACCCCAGCATTGACCCTGAACAGAAAAAGCGAGGACGTTCTGGGTGAGAGGACCCATCTTGGGGCTCTATGTGCTTTCTACAATGCTGAGTTGCACAGCGAGGGAAGGTATGAGTTTCAAGTCAAACTATCTAGGTTCAAATCCTGCTCCTTCACTTGGTAACTATGTGATCTTGGACAAGTTATTACTCTATTTGTGTCTGAAATTCCATATATGTGAAATGGAAGTAATTATATACAGCTGACTTATAAAATTGCTTTGAGGATAAGATGAAAATATGTGCAAAACACAAGAATGTTTGGCACATAGTAAGCATTCAGGTCATTCAGTTACAATCAAGAAAGGTAGTATGGGGTAATGCTTTAAAGCAAGGACTATGAAGACAGAGTGATTGATATATAAGATCTTGGTTCTATTGACAGGATTTTGCTGAGTTCTCTTGGACAGTGCATTAAAAGTGGGGTTTAGGGTATCAATTACCTGATCCAGCAATGGTGGTGAGTTGACTCCTTTCCAGTGGGGGAGCCCATTTGACCCAAATTGAATATTGACCAGTTAATACCATAACCTGGGGGGAAAAATTCCATTCTTGGAGATCTGAGGTCATTCTGGAATCTATATTCTACTTATACCTGGAAAACATCTTGGTACCTGGGCTATGCCTTGTACAATCCGGAGGACAATGAGCAAGGCCACTCCTGCATTAGCTGCCAGTGGAATGAAGAGGGTCAGGAATGAGGAAATAAACAAGCCAGCACCAACCACATACTTGGCTCCAAATATTCCAGCCACATAGCCACTAGGGATTGGAGCCAAGAATGAGCCATAGTTGAGGGAGCTGAGGATGATTCCCTGGATTTCAGGACTCCAGTCATATGCAGGGGCCTAGATGACAAAGAGAGTTACTGTTTGTCTTTAGTTGAAGAATTGACAGTTTTCATTGTGAGGCCTTGAGAGGCAAAAAAATAATTGGCAGTTATCTTTCTTTTTACATCTCTTCTGTTGCCCCAATATACCAGTATCATGTATTTAAAATATATGCCCAACATACTCTTTCCACTCACCCTGACACAATTAACCAAAAATTAAAATATAAGAGAGCTCGTAAAGAAACAAAGTCTATAAAGAAGAAAGCATCGTAAGCAAGGTAATTAAAAAAATATGTGGAAGGAAGAGAAAGCGGACAAATCTGTGAAATATATTTTATACAGATTTTCATCATTGTAGGGGAAGAATTTATGTCCCCTAAATGGTAAAATTTTTCATTTATTCTAACTTAGCCCCTGGTTACACTCATAGACACTAAGTAGTGACGCAATCCCCTTAGATACTTATTATGTTCTTTATTCCTTTCTTTTCTTTTCTTTTCTTTTCTTTTTTCTTTTTTTAAGACAGAATCTCTTTGTCACCCAGACTGGAGTGCAGTGGCACGATCTCTGCTCACTGCAACTTCCGCCTCCCCAGTTCAATCAATTCTTCTGTCTCAGCCTCCAGAGTAGCTGGGATTACAGGTGCCTACGACCATGCCTAGCTGACTTTCATATTTTTAGTAAGGACGCCTCGGCCTCCCAAAGTGCTGGGATTACAGGTGTGAGCCACCATGCTTGGCCTGATACTTAGGTACTTGTGCCATTCCTGGCACATAGTACATGTTCAGTAAATACTTAGTGGTTAAATGAATCTCACTGTAAGTCTTTAAGTCAAATTATTGTCAAATTATTAAGTCAAATTATTAAGTCAAATAATTATTATTAAGTCTCAAATTATTAAGTCAAAGAAAGAGTCCAGAGTCTCATTAAACTTACCATTGCTTTAAATTCTTTTAGAGTTTCATTCCAGTAGTCCTGGGAGTCAGTGGAGGGCCATTCTGTGGAGGCATTGGGCTGGCTAGGTGGAGCTGTGTTGTTCACCATAGCCGGAATGGCAATGCTCAAGTTCATTTGTTGGGTGTAAATTGAAAAATTACAGAGCTGCAAGATGAGGGCCAGCCCATGTCGGACTGAACAAAAGCCTGAGAGGAGAAGAGCATGCAAAGTCACAATCAGAATGCTTTTCTCCCACTCTCCCTAAGTCTGGAAGAAGGAGAGGATTGGTATCTGTCTGAGATGCAGAAATACAGAGAGAGAGAGAGACATTCCTCTGTAGTTGTGTAGTGGACTTCTGTCCCCTAGGAGGTAATGGGGGAGGTGGCTCCCTCAGAAGCATTTCTCAAACAGAGACTTGAAGAATGTGTGGAGTTGGTCAGAACAAACATTAGGGGAGAGCTTTTCAGGCAGGGCTCTGGGATGAGAAGATTAGAATGGGAATGGGAAGAAACTGATTTAGAGAAAGAATTGGCTGGGAGCAGTGACCGATTGGATATGGACAGTGACAGAAAGGAAATTGCTGGAAATGACTCCCAAGTTCCCTGCTTGGGCAGCTGGGATAGCTGGATGTGCCATTTATAACCAGGAAACATGGAAGATTAGCTTGTCTGGGGCTGGGGAGAGATGAAACTTGAAAAATAGGCGATGGTTAGATCATAGAAGTATTTAAACTTCATCTTAATACTATAATCTATGCTTACACAAAATTTGCTAGTGTTCCATAGGAACTCTGGGGATATCCCTGTGGTTGAGTCCAAACACATTAGTTTGACAACAGCGGAAAGAGTTCATCCACTATCCCTGTAGAGAAATCCCAAAGGTAATGTATGATCACAAGGTATGAAGATGCCATTTTCTTGGCTCTGAAAGGGAGCAAATGCTCTTGGAATGAACAGCATGGTTTCGTTTTGTGTAGTAATGCTCTTGCTAAGTTCCAGCTCTTACCTTTGGTTCAACTCTGAGGGCATTTAGTTCCCCATTCCCAACCCAGCGAATGCACCATCCATGAAAATCTACATTGGAATTTTGATCAGTCATATTGATATGACAGATTAAATTCAGAAGGATTGCCACATTTATAGTATTGTCTTCTAGTCAAGAAGGGATACCTACCCATGTACTAGTATTGGTCTTTTACTCAGTCCAAGGTGGAATTTTATATATATCTCACACAAAATTTCCTCTATATCTCACACAAAATTTCCTCTGTTATTAATATCTTATGGTTTAATATCTTATGGTTTGTTGCAATTAATAGTTATTTTCAGTTAAGGCCTTCACAAATTTTGTAAAGTACTTTTTAATTGTTGTGTAACTGAGCTCTTTTTCCTATCATTTTCATCAGGTTTTTCCCCATTGGGTTTTGATTCAATAAAGAAAGACAAATTATGTACAAAAAATGAAAAATGTAGTTGATTATGTTTACTATTTGCAACACTTATTTCATTCTCCTGGGTAATTTAATTCACTGGTATTTTCAAAAAAATGGACAAAACAGGAATGGTAAGAATGGACACCTCAGCTATATTTGCATTTACTGAGACTGCTTCTCACATTACACCATTAGGTATGCTGCTGGTTATTGGTATGACATGTCCTTTAATTATATTAAACTACTCTGTTACTACCTTTAAATATTTTTATGGGAATACATAAGTTTTATAAAATGTATTTTAATCCTGGAATCAGACACCTGCATTCCAATTCCAGCTTGTGTGTTCTGGGACAAGGTACTGAGCTCTCTGTGGCCCCCAAATTTTGCCTGAAAAATGGAATTAATAATAGAGTCTACATCAAGGCACTGTGATAACAACTGAATAAGTTTATGTAAGTTCATTATAATTATAATAGCCTACCACCTATGTATTATTGGGATGATCTCTTCTTATTCTTAATAGGCTATTACAAAATTTAAAAACATGATGTATTTGGCTAGTGTTTTAGCTAGAATTTTATTTAGTGTGTATAGTTGAGCTTAAAATGTTGTTTATGTATATAGGTGTGTTATTTTTTGCTATAGTAGCTTTGTTTTTTTTTTAAGTTATAAGCTTCCATCTCAATCTATGACCTGAAATGTTTTAGGTACATAGCCATTTTTCTTCTTAATAAATTTTTGATTTTAGAACAGTTTTAGATTTATAGAATTATTGAGTTCCTCTATATCTCACACAAAATTTCCTCTGTTATTAATATCTTATGGTTTAATATCTTATGGTTTGTTGCAATTAATAAACCTACAGTGATATATTATTAACAACTAAAGTCCACAGTTTATTCAGCTATCTTAGTTTTACCTAATGTCCTTTCTGTTCCAGAATCCCATGTAGAGAACCGCATTACATTTAGTTGTCATGTCTCCTTGGACTCTTCTTGTGTATGACACTTTCTCAGACTTACCTTGTTTCTAAAATGTATTCTAAATACCTTGTAGTCGAAAATGTCTAAAGACCTTGATAGTTTTGAAACGCACCAGTCAGGTGTTTTGTGGAGCATCCCTTAATTGAAATTTGTCTGATATTTTTCTCATGATTAGACTGTAATTGTGTGTTTTTGAGAGGAAGGCCATGGAGGTAAACTGCCATTCTCGTCACATCATATTATGGCCACACACTGTCAACAAGGCTTCTTACTATTGAGTTGATCTTGGTCCCCTGGCTTGAGGTAGTGTTTGTCAGGTTGCTCCACTGTAAAATTACTCTCTTTTTTCTTTTTCTCCTTTTAATGTTTTGTATGAATTAATATGTACAAATGTACTCTGGAAGAAGTCACAAGCACCAGTCACACTTAAGGAGTAAGGAGCTAAGCTCCATTTTCAGAAGATAGAGTGCTATATATAAACTATTTGGAACTCTTCTGCACAGGATAAATAGGCATTTTCTGCTCCTTAAAACTCTCATATAATTTTTCTAGTGAAACTACTAGAACATATTTGTTTGTTTCTGTGTTTTAAAATGAATAACTTTTTGACAAGTTTCTTCATTTCTTAGATTTTTTTGACATGTATAATTTTTTTCTTTATTCAGATTTATAAATTAGAAACACAAAATGTATAATTCCTAGAAATCATAATTTCTACAGTTATAATTAAATTATATTTAAAATATTAAATTTTAATAAGTAAATTATGATTATGTAATTAAAGTTTTTATAATTATAAATTTTAATTCCTAGAAAATCATTTACTTATGTACTTTCCCTATAATTAGCTTTTATACATTTTTGATGCTACTGTCTCCTATTTTCTCATAACTGCTTGTATTTAATATCTCTGCCTGATTAATCTGAGTAGTGGATTGTTTTATTGCATTGAGTGGCATCTTCTTTTATCAAAGAATCAGCTCTTGTATATATTTTTAATCCAATTTTTTAATGATTTGAGTTCACACTATTTTCTACATTTAAGTTGTCTATTTCATTTTTCTATGTAATTTCCTTAAAGTTGTAGGCTCGGTGAATTGGATGTTTAATTAACTAGTTTTCATTTTTTATTATACAATCTCTGTTTTCTTCCCTTTTTCAAATCTGTCTTCTCCTTGCTGCTGCTAATTCCATTTTAATTCCGCACTGACATTTTTTTCCTCCTTTGTTTCCTTTCTCCTCTATATTAGGGACTTCTTCCATATTCTTCTGTTGATTTACTTCCTACACTCTATGCTTTAGTATTATTATTGTCATTGAGAACTTTAAGAAATTGAAAATGAAAATATTCCTCAATTTCCTCGTAATAATATAAGCACAGCAGTGTGATGTAAAGGCTAACAACAGCTGATTTGAATCCAGCTGCTACCTCTTTATGCCTGGATGATTAAGATATGTTACTTCATCCCTCTGTGCCTGAGCAGGCTCCTACAAAATGGGGATGATGCTAGTAGCACTTTCCCTGAAGGATTGTTGTGAGAATTCAATGAATTAATACATACAAACTGCTTAAAACAGGGTCTAACATACGGCCTGCGCTCATTATGTGACAGCTATTATAATGAACTGTGCTCTTTCATAAGTGTACCTGTTGATTTCTCTTCTATCTAACACATGCCTTACCTTATTCTTTCTACGTAAATATGCAAACATATTTACGTAGGTTCCTTGTAGTCCACCCCTACAGCCTTGGACTATAAAAGCCAGTCGTGTGCGATTTTGTTCTCACATTTTGAAACCCCTGCACAGGGCCATCCATGCTGGTTTGAGGCCCAGCTATGATGCGGTGGTGTATGTGGGTGGGCTGGTGGCAGCAGGTGGGGAGGAGGAGGTAGGAAATTCCTTCACCAATTCAAGGGAAGCTAACTACTGTACCATTTTAATTCTGCAATAACATTATATAATTTGAGAGAACGTCTTCCAAATTTCCAAGTTGATTTTTGCAATCATTCATATTTTCCTCTGCTTTGTAGCACTGGCCCCTAATGCTAAATTGCAGATCAGAAAGGCCAGTGAAGCGTGAGGGGAAAGCTGCAGAACGTGGGCCCATGCACGCTTCACCCAGCACATCCCAGCACTGTAGACCCTTGAGGGGCTCATGGGGTCTGTGGTCTGCCCAGCTTCTGGACACTGCCACTCCAAGCTGGGCAGCACGAGCTGAAGCTCCACAGCATCCTCTTTGTTCTTGCTGTAACACTGCACCATGCCTCAAAGATGGGAGTTTTATCAGCTCTTGGCTCCTCTCTCTATTTCTTCCAAAGTGTATTAAATCTGTCTCCAAGACTTGGAGTTTGTAGTGTGTGGTAGGAATAATTCCTTAGTTTCAACCTAGATGGACATACTTTCTCAAGTGTCGTGCTTGTTTTACTCATTTCCACGGCTTTCAGAAGGGGGTGCTATTGTAAATGGGCCTTCTGATGGCATTCTTCCCCATGGAGGGGGGCAATATGTCTTCCCTGCAGGCATTTGATATGGAGAAAGGACACTGTCCCTGATATTGTTCTCAGTGCCTTTCCCACCCTTCTGTGGTCTCCACAGTAACAGAGGCACAAATATCTGGAAGCTACAATCCTCAGGATTCCATTCAGATTCCACAAATGAGGACATGCTGGCACAATGTGTCAGGCTGAACTCAGTGAGAAACCACTATGCTCTGGAGGCAGCTGCAGGTTGATAAGCGAGAATCAGTCATGTTAGACATGGGATTTCTGCCTGTGACTTTAGGGGTCCGTCTCAAAAACATCCACTTTGTGATGCACATGGCTGGGATCATTGGCAGTGTAATGTCCCAGATTTTCTGAAAGTAACCAACCTGACTTTTGCTTCCCTAGCCTTCCAACATCTGTGAAATCTTCCAGTCCCCTATATTAATCTTTCTTCTCAGAAATACCTAGATTTGCTTTTGATTTTGTGATATAACTCAGACTGATACAGAAGCTCATGGACCTCTGGGGGAAAGGGGATCAGAAGGTCAAAGTGATGTCTGTCTCCAGCCCGGCCCCAGAAATCCCTAACTGAGCCTGAGAGAGAAAAACTACTGATCTTCCGGCAGAACCTGAAGGCCCAGCTTTTTTCACTCAAGGTTTCTAGGTTATTGGAGCAGTTCCTTTGTGTAACCAGGTGACCAGATAATGGGGGAGGGGGCATTTCTCCACATCCCATGGAACACCTGGATTCAGCTCACTAAGTGTCTTAGAAGCACAGCAAAGACATCAGTAGCTTTTGGGGATGGGAGTACTGGTACCCAGAGAAAGCCCCAGTAGTGCCCTGGGAGTCTGATACAGAAGATCCAGCCATGCCCAGTAAGCATGAGCCAGAGAAGGAGATGAGAGGAAAACTGATGTTGGACACCAACAGACGAAGCAATCAGCAAGGTTTATTCCTAAGCATTTGTGAGAAATACTCGTATACACAACAAAATAACTTGGTAAGGCTTGGAGGAGTAGCTGGGGTTCTGCCTTATTAGGTAGGATGAGACTGCCAAAAAAGGATGAGTGTTAATAGCATGATGCTGTTTGAAACAACAAGCTGGGGTAAAGTTGGTTACAAAGTTGTTGTCCAGTATAGCTATAGCCCAGAGTGGTCACCAGAGGACTGGGTGGCATGGTAGGCCAGATGTTGTAGGAGACTATAGAAGAAACCAGGAAGACCATAGGGGTTCCACTTTAGACAAATTATAGATGAACTTCCCAATGACTGCCAAAAGGTGGGCTGAGGAAGGGACACTATGTGAGTGGTAATAATGAGCTCAAAAATGGCAGAATCAGGATTGCAAACTCAAGCATTATGATTTCTGACCTGTGCTTTTATCCAGTATGCCATACTGTACCTTGGTAAAATTTTACTCACAAGTTCTTCACATTACCAATTTTGAGGGAGAGACAGAATGATAAAATAATTTGGCCAATGGTATAGTCTAGTAGACTCTGAAGTCCTTAGAAACAGATGAGACCTTCAGCCAAGACTACTGGAACAGTATTAATTCTGGGTCCAATGGTGACTAGTTGTAGGATGAGTACTAATATGCAAATTTCCTGATTTCTTCTGTGATGGACGAGATTAGGAGAAATCTCTTTTCTTGAAGATATGCATAATTCTTAACAGACAAAACAGACAAACTGGCTAAAATGTTGAGTATTACAAAGCATTCCATCTTGGTTAGTGTTTTGCCTTTTAAAGGCATTATCTTATGAAATGACTATATCCTTAAAAGAATTAATGGATAACATAGTCATAACTCATTAAGCATTTAGGGTAAAATAAGATGTTCTACCGTTTCCCTTAATGCATATTATGAAAAGCATGATATTTTAATATAGATAAGAGAAAGGAAGAAAGGTGACTTCTATGACATGCTAGAAACAAAAAGCCTATTTTGGGATCGGGGTCAGGTTTGGATTTAACACGAGCAGAGAGAACCAATGGGACATGTCTTGAGCTTAGAATCAGACAAGCCAAGGTTGGTTTCTATATTTCCTACTTAGAACCTGCTCTGATTTTTTTCCTTCATCTCTAAATAATGTCATGATACCTGCCTGTCTTATATACCTTCAAAGTTTCTTGTGAGAAATGAAATAATTATCAATAACTATTTATAGCCATATAGAATTCTTGGCAATTGGTGGTAGTGAGGAAAATGATGTGTATCAACAAAAGATGCCACAGATCTTAGTTTTATTTACTAACACAAGTCAAGGTGCCATAGATCCTAGTTTTATTTACTACCAGATTACTGTGCATGATTTTACCTTTCCTGGAGCATTCCTCTTGAGCCATATTTAAATTGCCATCATTGGAAATGTCCCCCACTGTAGCTTTGACATCTGGTCCAGTAGACATTTTGGTTCTCTCTTCCCAGGGACTGATATTTACTTACTAAAATAAAAAGAATGCAAAAGCAAATACAGAGAGAATCTTAAATGATACCGCCCCAATTCTTTCTAAGAACTAGGAGCAAATGTTGTTCTATACGAAAAGTGCTAGATTAGGGTTCGTGAAAACTAATTTGTCATCCTGGCTTTATCACTAACCAATTGGTTGGTCTTTGAAAGGTCGCAGTTTACCCTGGGTCTTAGTATCTGTGTCTCACAAGTGAGGAATCTGGCCTGGATTGCCTTCATAAATTGTAATATCCTTTCTAGTTCTGTGTTCCCATGTCTCTAAATTGATATTAGTATTAAATGGACATGAAAAGTTGACAACCTTATTTGCAATTTCATCTAGGAGATTCGAGTGGATTAAATTACCTGAAAAACTATTATAACCGCCTATACATATTACATAAAATATAGCAAACACCCTTTTACATAGCTGCAAAGACAGTAAGAGATACATCCATCAAGTTAGATGTCTGCGCTGACTTCAGTGACCATGAGATTGGGGCACAGAAGCATCAATTTCAGTGATGTGGGGGCCTGAGATCTAAGCCCCTGTGGGGATGAAGGATGAAGCCGTAGGCCCATGCCAGGGAGGCGATTATAAGGGAGATTCTAATATACAGTTAGATGCCTCAAAGCGGTTCAAAACTTGGTTAAAGAGGCTCTTCCCCTTTCAACAATAACAGTGACAACCCTCTTTGTCCTGAGTTGTGGTTTGAAAATAAAGTACTTTACCTGAAAACTGTGAAAGTTCGTATCTAGGTTATGGAGAATTGAGGGTTGAAATTCATATTTCCTTCATTGTCTGAGAATTCATCCCCAGCTAAAAAACTGACCAAAGAATCAAGCCCAGTCTGATTCGCTCAAAACAGATTACACAGAATTACTGCACATGAAGCTCTATATATTATGAGCTCAAAATAAAAAATTATAAACACTCAAAGAAATGATCCATCCAAAACAAGTTTTCAGACTCAACGCATAGCAAAATTAAACTACTGAGAACTTCCAAAAATAGAATAAACTGACAAAGACATTACATAAGTATGCTTTAAATAATTGAAGAAATAAAATATGGACCCTAAAACATAAAAAGGTACCAAAAAGAACAGGCAGATTTAAGAAAGATACTACTTGAAATACAAAAATAATTAGGCATTAAAATTTTAAACTAAGTGACTAGACATAGCTAATGAAAGAATTAGCAAAATCAAAGGCAGTGAGCTATGTAAATTATACAGAATAAAGCTCAGTGAGATGATGAGGGATGACAGCAAAGTTAAGAAACTGGAAAATGGAGTGAAAAGGTCCAATGTATGTTGAATAGGACTTCTAGGAGGACAAAATAAAGAGAATTGAGAAAAGGCAATACTTTAGGAAATAACGGATAGGAATTTTTTAGAATAGATGAAACCATAAGATTTCTCAGATTCAGGAATCAAAATGAGTCTCAAGCTAGGGAAATGAAAAGAATCTACACCTAAACATATTTAAGGATACTGCAGGACACGAAAAGAACAAAACTTATTTATAGTAATAGATACCATAAAAGATGACTTGATAATAATAGATACCATAAAAGATCACTTTTAGAAGGGGAGAAATTGATTACAGCATTCTATCAGATATGAAGTAGTATTTGTTCAACTTCTAGCTAATAAAAAAATAAAATACAGTAAATTGGTAAAAAGTAGGAAACTATTGGAACGAATATGAATGTAGATTAAGAACAAACATGGGAAAATGTGCATCACTTCACTATCAAGGACATGGATATTAAAAGAACAAGATCCTATTATTTCTTACCTATTACTTTTCATAAACATTTTAAAAGACTGTTACCACCAAGCTTAGTCAAAAATGTGGGGAAATGAGCTATTATTTCAGGAAGTCAAGCTGCATCTTCTCACTTGTATTGCTGCTTCATGGTGTGTACCAGAGACTAATAGGCACAGCCACACAGAATAGTATGTTTCAGGACACTCCTTAAAGCAATATTTGTAAAAGCAAAGAGTCAAGAGCTAACTAATGATTATTTAATATTTGCATAATTAAATGCAGATATTTTCTGAATACTACACGGTTATCAAAGAATTGGATACATATATAAAAGCATATAAAGATTTAAAAGACAGGTAAACAATCAAGCATCTACAGTTTTCAAGAGACTCACCTAAAACATAAGGATTCACATAAACTTAAGGTAAAGAGGTGGGAATAGATATTCCACGCAAAAGGACACCAAAAGCAAGCAGGAGTAGCTATTCTTATATCAGACAAAACAAACTTATAAGCAACAGCAGTTGAAAAAGATGAAGAGAGACATTATATAACGACAAAAGGACTATTCCAACAGGAAAATACCACAATCCTAAATATATATGCACCTAACACTGGAGCTCTTAAATTTACAAAACAATTACTACTAGATCTAAGAAATGAGATAGACAGCAAGACAATAATAGTTGGGGACTTCAATACTCCACAGACAGCACTAGACAGGTCATCAAGACAGAAAGTCAACAAAGAAACAATGGACTTAAACTATATCCTAGAACAAATAGACTTAACAGATATTTACAGAACACTCTACCCAACAACTGCAGACTATACGTTCTATTCATCAGCACATGGAACATTCTCCAAGACAGACCATATGATAGGCCACAAAACAAGTCTCAACAAATTTAAGGAAATCGAAATTATATCAAGTACTCCCTGAGACCACAGTGGAATAAAATTGGAAATCAACTCCAAAAGGAACTCTCAAAGCTGTGCAAATACGTGGAAATTAAATAACCTGCTCCTGAATGATCATTGGCTCAACAATGAAATCAAGATGAAAATTTAAAAATTATTTGAACTGAACGACAACCATGACACAACCTATCAAAACCTCTGGGATACAGGAAAAGCGGTGCTAAGAGGAAAGTTCACACCATTAAATGCCTTCATCAAAAAGTCTGAAAGAGCACAAATAGACAATCTAAGTTCACACCTCAAGGAACTAGAGAAACAAGAACAAACGAAACCCAAACCCAGCAGAAGAAAAGAAATAACCAAGATCAGAGCAAAACTAAGTGGAAATTGAAACAAACAAACAAAAAAATACAAAAAATAAATGAAACAAAAAGCTGGTTCTTTGAAAAGATAAATAAAATTGCCAGACCACCAGCAACATTAACCAAGGAAAAAAGAGAGAAGATCCAAATAAGCTCAATTTGAAACAAAACGGGAGATATTACAACTGATACCAGAGAAATACAAAATATCATTCAAGACTACTATAAATACCTTTACGCGTGTAAACTAGAAAACCTAGAGGAGACGGATAAATTCCTGGAAACATAAAACCCTCCTAGATTAAACCAGGAAGAAATAGAAACTCTCTGTGCAAAGGAATGGGGAGGGCAGGAATGGCCATGCAGGAGTTGAACTTTGTCTTTGTTGTTTACATGTGTGACAACAATAATGTAATTTGAATTATTACTGTAATTAAAAATAAATTTCAGGGACACAGGTAGGCTGAGATGAAGAAGGTGAGTGTTTTAGAGTCAGTTGCTGGTATTCTCTGTCAGGTATTCATTTTCACTCCAGGAAAGAAATGAGGAGGGCACTGCCCCGTCACTTCAAGTCAAATGATAGGAGCTGCCCGCAAGGGGGTTATTCAGGGAGCTTGACCTATGTCCCTTATGTATGTGTGCTTGTGTGTATGTAAAGGTGAGTGACACATGCCTCAGAATCTAAGGGCATGAGGTGGTGACTCCTGGTCTGAGGCTGCAGAGCACAGCAAAGGTCTACACCACACTGGAGGCTGTGATACATCCCACAGCAGCAGGAGTGAAGATGCACAGGTAGAGACCAGCAGGTCCCTTATGAACCAGATATGGATGACTCAGGAAAAATCCAGTTTACAATCTCTTAAAATGAGAACTGTCTGGAGAGGCCACATGACCCCAAAAGAGAGGACAGACTGTCTGATGCCCAGCACCTGAGAAAGGAACCCTAACTGCTGAGTTAGTGAACACATATCACCCCTGACATGGGAGGACTAGTGGATGCCACCACTGGGGTACAATAAAGGATTCAGCATTGAACATTCATCCAACCCAGAGACCACCAATGCCAAGGCACAAGAGTTCCGGCTAAGAAAGACACTTCCTGCTTCTTGCTTCTAACTCCCTACCCACCAGCCATGGAAAGATCAGAAGCGACAGCTAGCAAGAGGGGTGAGAGTAGTTGCTGACAGAGAAAGGGAACAAGAAGCCAACCAAATGATCCCTTCCCTCCCCAGAACCAAGATGGAGTGGTGGGTGGCGGGGCAGGAGAATGAAGGTTTACTTTTAGATCAAGTTTGGAATTTTCTGGTTTTCATTGGACTGGATCCATTAATTACAAAATGAGATTATTTGAAGACTACAAATAAACAATAAACCCATTACTACTGAAAATGATCAGAGAAGTTACAGCACCAAGCAGATATAAAGTTACAGCACCGAGCAGATGTAAAGGATACGATGAAGTTACAATACCAAGCAGACATAAAGGAATAAAATGTAAAGGGATAAGCAGTAGGTGCTGGTGAAATGAAATCATTTTCCACGTGCTCTCTGTGAAGGACTCTTCTTATTAATATAAAAGAAAATAGACCTGATCCTTTGGTGCTATTGTGTTTAAAGATAAGTGGAAATGTTACATAATGTCACCACTAAAGTTGATAAGTGAGCAACTGACAGAGAAGTTGCCTCAATGATGTCCTTCAAAACCACAGATGTTAGACCATGGAGCCCTCTAGTCTGCACTGGAATTCAAAAACACACTCAAAATTGAATTAAAATCCAAACAAATACTCGTTGGCAAATGGAATAGTTCTAGTAACTCTGAAAAGAAACTTGGTAAAATGAGGGGACTGAATAGTCTGCTGGAAAAATAATTTGCTTAGGATTTATTTTCACACCTCAGGGCAATTAGTTGAATTGAAAAACTCGTATCAGTCACAAGAACTAAAGACATAGCTTTCAGGGTAACATTTTTTTCACAGGCTATACCCATACAGACTCTTCTAGTGTTCCAACATCTAAGAGTTCACTGACCACAAGTTCATTCATTGATTCAGTAAACATTTATTGAATCAATGAATGCAATGTTGTGCTTTCATAGCTCCATCTCCTGCATGACTGAAGGACTTAGTAATCATTAAATTGCCCTCTCCTTGTGCTTATTATAACCAGCAATCAATTGCCAGTTTTTTCAGTAATGGGCGATCATGGTTTTGCTGACGTTAATGAGAGCAGTGGGAACAGACAGCCGAGGGCGAAGGGAGGACAGTGCTGTTGTGGGGCAAGGGATGCAGGCACGGACAGTACACCTGTGAGAAAGTTACATCCCAGGAGGGGCTCATATGAAAAGAAAGAAGTAAGAATGCCACATGGTATGAAAAAACAAGAGTAGCACTGACAGAAACTAGGTCATTAGCATCAGGAGAGGAAGGCAAGCACTCTGCTTAGTCTAACCACTTTACCTAGTGTGGTTGTATGAAATGGTTATATTTGAGCTGAAATGGAAACACTGAGAAGGAGGCAGCACTGAGCAAGAACATGCCAGGCAAAGGAACCAGCAAGTCTGTCACGTTTTTCTAGGCAGAAGGTAGTCCAATGTGGCGATGCAGAGTGAATGAGGAGGTTAATGGTAGGTGATGAGATCAAAGGGGTGGGCAGGGACCAGACCATTTTGGGTCTTATAGGCCGGGTAAGGGGACTGGATTTACTATGGCCACTGTGTGGCACATGGGCTATAAAGGACAAGATTGAAAACCAAGAGACTGAACAAGAAGCTGTTTCTTGACCTGTGCAAGTGTTGATGGTGGATGGGCTAGGCTAGCTGTGGTGAAAAAGACCACATTCAGGACCTGTTTTGGAGATATGCCACTAAGACTTGCTAATGAGGTGTATATGGGAACAAGAGAAAGGGAAGAATCATCAGAGACTTCCAGACTTATGACTTGAGCAAATGAGTGAAAGTGTTGCACTCAAAGTTGGGGAAATGAACAGGGAGGGCAGCAGGTTTCAGAGGAAAAGCAAGAACTTTATTTTGGACATAGGGGTTGAGACTCCTGTTAGACTCAGAAGGGAAGATTGACAGGTGAGTTTTGTGTCTGTGAGTCCATAGCTAAGAACAGAAGGGCCTTGGTAGAAATATAAATTTGTAAGTCATCAGCCTTATCTATGTATTTTGAAACCAGGTAAATGAGGAAAAAAGAGCAAAGAAATGGAGCCAGCCATTCTTGTATCAATTTCTCATCAGTTTTTCTTGTCAAGACTGCTTGTATCCGTTCTTTTTGGATTCATATGCATCCTGTTCCTCTGCTAGTCATCAGTTCACTGTAGAATGAGACTTTTCCTTAAAGTGCTGTGCAGAGCTATTAATAGCTCAAATGTCAGCTTATGTGGTCTCAGCACTGAACATTTTTCCTCCCTATGAGAAACAGCCCATGGCTCTCACTCACAGTTTGCAAATAAAGTCCTCTGCCCTAAACTCTTCATCATTAACCGCTTCCCAAAGCCAGGTTAGATTTCATTTATTTTGCTTTCCCATAAATTCACTGGAACCAAACCAGAACAGTTTGGTTTTGACTGATATTTTAGGCATGATGAAAATCTTCCTCTGTGAGAATTCAGTATTGGCATTTATTGTTGCACTGTGGATTTGATCAATGCTTAAAAAAATTAATATATTTCACAAAAGCAATTCAAATATATCATTTAGTTTTTCTCTCTTCTTCTCTCTCTCTCTTCCTCTCTCTGTCTCTTCCTCTTCCTCTGTCTCTCTGTGTGCCTGTGTGTGTGTGTGTCTGCCTGTCTGTCTCTGTTCAGCTATACTTTTAGAAAATTTCATTCTCTTGAATTTATTCCCTGTAGTTCCATGGCACTTAATGCAACATCTCTTCTCACTTACCAGAATTATCTCAGGACACAGGCATTCTCTTCTCCACTCCCACAGTCTCTGCCCCCAAACAGCAAATTAAGCTGCTCTCTAATGGAAAAAGACCCATTCCCATCATCTCAAAAGCAGAATATTAAGTGTAAAAGTTTGAAAGCTAACTAACCTGAGGGAAGAAGAGTGCAGGATCCTCATTCCTTTCAAATAAATTTCTCTAAGCTCTTTGCAATTGTCTAATTCTGGGAGGTAAATAATTACCCAAAACCTTTAGCCCTTATGTTACCAGCTTGGAGGATTTTATTGGCTCAGTGGTTTAACTTTTAACTTTACATTTTATTGTTTGATTGATAAGCAAATCAAGCTCATTAAATCTTCCTCATGCTTCAAGCCCAGCTGAGGTCACCTATGTCTTCCCTCATCCTTAATCAGAATCAATGTCCCTTCTTATAAGGATCCTGACACCCCACATGCCTCACTGACAGCACTGTCCCCTTCTGGGGTCTCTCAGAGTTATTATAATCTTCATGGAGATGGGGTATATTTGTTCCCTTTGGGTCCCTTTTCCACCATCCTCCTATTTAATAGAACTGAGTTTTCCAAAGAGGAGAGACTTAATACATTTTGGTCGACATGAGTGATTTTTGTGGTTTTCTGATTGTAACTTTTTGCACAAAGGCCAATGAGTTTTCTGTGAAAATTAACTCTGTGATTCTCCTCCCTTTTATGGCAAAACATTTCAGAAGACTCATACATATTTGCATTCTGTTTCCCCACCTCTAGTTTTCTCATGAATCCATCAGCAACAAGACAGCCCTTAGCAAAGCCATCACCAGCCTCTCCGCCAGCAAATCCAGCAGTCACATCCCAGGCCTCATCTGTCAGTGCTTGACAGATTCCATCACTTGTTCCTTCTTGATGCCTTGTTTCATTTGATTCCATCGGATCTGATTTTCCTCGTGTCTCATTGGTTGTTCCTTCTCAATAAGTTTTGCTGAATCCTTACCTTTTCTCTGGTTTCTACTGTTGATGTGCCCAAGACTCTGTCCTTGAATTTCCTCCCTATCTAAACTCACTCCCAAGGAGATCCCAGCCAGTCCCCTTTCCTTTCACACCTGATTCTGACCTCTTCTCTGGGCTTCGACTTCAACTTCATCCGTCTCTCATTGAGTACCCATTAGGTATCACAGTCTTATGATGGCAAGCAGAACTGAATCCCCCTCCAACCCTACTCTTGGCCCAGGATTCCTCATCTTGGTTAATGGCATCACCATTTCCCTGTTAATCTTGCCAAAAAAAATCAGCCTTCATTCTATACTTTCCATTAACATTCATTCCAACAGTATGTTCTATCAGTTCCACCTTCATCTCTTTCCATTATTTTTTATTTCCTCCATTCCTATCACAATCATCTATCACCAGGGTAAATAAAATGATTACTTACCTGGCCCCACTGTTTCAATTCTCTCTCTTTTAATCCATCCCTCATAGCAGGCAGAATATTGGAAATATACATATGCTCATGTTACTTACTGGTATAAAAGTCTTCCAAAGCCTTCCCAGAGAACCTAGGACAAAAGAGAGCAAATTGACCTTCCTGAAGGTGCTCCAATGCCTTACATCACCTCGGACACACCAACCTTACTGACCTCTGCCCTGTTGTTCTTCCCTCACTAAATTCCATCCAGTTCTGCCTTCTCCATGAAGTTCAAGGCCTCTGCACTTGCAGTTCCTCCTGTCAGTGATGCCCAGCTCCCCAAGATGATTGCAAATGTTTTACCAATGTTGTTAGAAAAATAAAACACATGAAAATAGATTTTCCAAGAAGCCTCTAATATGGTCTTGATTTTGTGTCAGTCTAGGCTAACTTGCGTATTTATGTCTTAGTTTTAATAAATATTTTTTAATTTTAAAAAATTAAAAATAGATCAAAGATTATAGAATAAAGGTATAAAGAAAATATTTTTGTACAGCAGTACAATATGTTTGTGTTTTAAGCTGTTATTACAAGAGTCAAAAAGTTCAAAAACATTTAAAAGTTTATAAAGTCAAAATGAAATAGTAAGCTAGAATTTATTATTGAAGAAATAAATTTTTTTATAAACTTAGTGTAGCTTAAGTGCACAGTGTTTACAAAGTCTACAGCAGTGTACAGGCATGTCCTGGGCCTTCACATTCACTCACTGCCTCAGCCGGAGGAACTTCCAGTCCCACAAGCCCCTTTTATGAAAAGTGTCCTAGATGTACCATTTTTTATCCTTTTACTATATCTTTTCTATGTTTAGATATGTTCAGATTCTCAAATATCACTGTTTCAATTGCCTACAATATTCAGTACAGTAACATGTGGTACAGGCTTGTAGCCCAGGAGCAATAGGCTAGACCATGTAACCTAGGTGTATAGCAAGCTCTACCATCTAGGTTTGTGTAAGTGCGCTCTATGGTATCCACACAACAAAACTGCCACACAGCACATTTCTCAGAATGTATACCCATGGTTAAGCATCGCACGATTGTATTATAGCAAATATACAGCACATACTCTGTGGGGAGAAGAAGCAGTAGATGAGTTTCTGTGGCTGGCACTATTAATTGGTTAAGCCAAACTACATTTCCAAGTTTCTGTGCCCTAGCTTGTATCTACTATAAGAAATACAGAAACAAAAACTTCATTTCTGTGGCTTCCTTGAAACAAATGGGACCTACACATTTCTGGCCATTGATGCATAAAAAGAAGTAGGCCTGTGTCTCATCTTTTTTTTTTTTTCTTTTTCCTTCTGCCTTAACAGTGGATGTCAGGTCTCAAGGTATGGCAAGTACCTGATGGCTCATGAGTCAAGAGCAAGATGAAAGCCAATAAACCGATGGTGGCTGTATCAGTCAGGATAAGCTAAGTTACACTGGGATAACAAATGACCCAAAAATCTCAATTGCTTATAATAACAAAGTTTTATGTGCTGTTCACAATTCATGACCATTGTGTCTTGGCTACGGCTTCTCACCATGTTTTCCTCACTTCAGGGCCCAGTTTGACAAATCAGGCTTTATTTGGAACACGGATGGTCTCATGGCAGAAGTAAAAGAGAAATTATGGCGAGCCAAGTGTTCGCTCTTACAGGTTTTGCCTAGGTGTCACTTCCACTCAAATTTAATGGGGCAAAGCAAGTCAGATGGCCAAGCCCAATACAACCAAGATAGAGAAATATAATTCTTTCCAGGGGAGGACCAGGGAAAATTTTTGAATAATAATATAAGCTATCACTGTCCAAGCTTCAATTCAAAATTATTTAGTTAGTTAACTATCCCTTCTGCACACAAAACATACTTACTCCCTTCCTATGAAAAGTCGATTCAAAGTCTTATTTAATTATAGCTTCAGGGCTGATGTTGACAATTTTATGATATTCTCTCATCAGGTTGAATATGACTTGTCTTGCTCCAGAAACTCATGAACTAATGAGACAAGGTATGTGCCTACACACCCATGCACACCCAATGTGTCATGCTAGGACACAGAAAAGATAATTGCAGACAGAATTGCACAGTAGTTTGTAGTTCAAAGAAATCTGAGATCATGTGGGTAGCTATTTCAGTCTTCGTCCTATCTCCCCACATGAGATAGTCGCTAATAAATCTGTGGCTGTGCACACCATGAGTAATTCCCCCAGGATATTATTTTTCAGAGGTCTTGGCTTCACGCTCTGGTCAGTCCTTCCTTTTCCAATATCTCCTTTGACCATATTTGAATAGTCCTTGCAGACTGGGCAGAATGCTTAGCCCATTGCTGACAAAAAAAAAAAATTTTTAAAGAGGACACCCCCCACACACAAGTTATGTAACCCTTGATGAGTCACAGCCTCCTTTATCCAGGCTGGTAGTTCTGTGGTATTATGTCACTCAAAATCATAACCAGTTTCCTATATAAGTGCTTCTCTCTCCCTCCTTTCTCTCTCTCTCTCTCTCTCTCTCTCTCTCACACTCTCTCTCTCTCTCTATGACATGGGTTACTTTGAGCCTACCAGACTTCAATAGAAAAGCCATCACCTTTGCTTCATTATTTTTATGAATGGTTACCACCTTGGTTTGATGCTTGCACAAGGCCAAGCTTTAAAAGGACTTTCTTACTTAAATTTTGTCAGTTTTATCTTTAACTGTTGGGAGTTGAGAAATAGTGTCTTTCAACTCAGTAAGTCTAGAGTTTTTAGTTTCTCTCAATTTCCTTCATTCTGATTTTCAAACCAGCTAATTACTTTGTGAGATTATGTCTTGTCTTATTATACTTTGTTAAATATAGTCAATAGTAAATCACACAATTTATATTAATTATGCCAAGAATTTCACCAAAAATAGTAAGCTCAATAGGGAAATTACCTATAAATTAGTTTCTAAAGTTTTCTAAATGTTTCACCTGTGCAAATTAAGTACTACTGCCCTTCTAAACTCTAATAACAGCTTCTTTTCTGCTTCTATCCCATCCCTAAAGCTAATGCCTCAAAAAAGGTGGTGCTTTGTCTTATTTTGTTTTTAATTTATGGCAACACCCTATGCTATACCTTGTACTAATTTCTGTATTGGTTAGAAAAGGAGAGATATGCTGTGGTAAGATATGAAGCCTTAATTAGTGGCATACAATGTAATTTTATTTCCTGCTTCAAGATACATGTCTAGCACAGACCAGCAGCAGCTGTGATCCACATCATCTTCCTGTTGAGACCAGGCTTATGGACAGCTTCCATTTGAAACATTGCAGCCAGTCTCATGGCACAGAAAAGAGAGAATATGTGTAAAAACTTATGGCTGGAAACATGTTATTTGTAATTAAATTGAATTGATCAAAGTAAGTCACATGATCTAGATGGACATTAATGCAGCCAAGAAGTATGAGGAAGGCAGCAAGTTTCTGCGAACAATAATATATTCTACCATGGGGTCGAGTAGAAAAATAAAAAAAAAAAACTTGGGTCCCTCAGGCTTTATTGAACTGGTATACCAGTTCTGAACTGCCTATAAATTGGGAAAAATAAAAATCTATTTGTTTAAGCCATTACCTGCATACAGTTCAAGAAGTAAGCAGTGTCTACTTTGGTATTAAACTCACTTGTATTGAGTTTTATTTTCAATGCCTTCATTTTTTAAGGTTTTATTTGTCTCCTTGTAGGGAAAAGAAAGATCAGACTACATAGACACAATCAGATATTGTGTCTATGTAGAAAAGGAAGACATAAGGAACTCCATTTTGACCTGTACCCT